AATAGTTGATAATCATTTCTGCAGCTGTCTTGTAGTACAAGCATTAGTAAATGATAAAACCAAAGATACTTATGAGTGGCTTCTTAGTTCAACCTTACAAGCTACAAATCACACCCTCAAGTTTTTATTACCCATGCTGACCCTGGAATAGATGCTACAATAGATATTCATTATAGTAATACTTATCTGCTTTATTGTATTTATCATATATCTCAAAATCTTATACGCAACCTCAAGGCTCTCCTTAGTTGTTTCTTTAATGACTTCATTAAAGATTTTTATTTGTGTCGAAATGATCTTTCTCCTGATAGGTTTGGCATCCAATTGCATAAACTTATTATTACGTACCCCAAGGCAGCAAGTTACCTTAATTCTGAGCTCTACTCTAGCAAAGAAAAATAGGCTAAAGCATATACAAATAAATTCTTCACGGCTGGTATTTCATCTACATCACGTGTTAAAAGTAAAAATGCTGTAATAAAAAATATTATTCAAGGCCGTCCTAGTCTTTGTGAACTTGCTGCTATTTTGAACTTGCGGTTAAGTGATGAAATACGTTATATTAAACATAATGAATGGTACTATGCAAATACAAGTGCACAATTAAGGAGTGCTTCTGCTGAATGCTTTCCTGAAATTGACCATATTCTTAAGGAATATCTTACTGAAGAAATGCTTTTCCGACAAAGACATAAAATAACACAATCACTTTACTATTATACTATAACAAAAAATGAAGAATTACCTAATGATAGTTATGCTAAAGAAAGCTATGACACACAACAAATTCACCTGACCTCTTTTCTAAAGAATCTCTCTTCAAACGAAATTGTCGATACATACAAAATTTAATGACGTCATTGTATTCATATTAACTATGTTGTTATCCTTACCAACTATTCACATTTATACACATGCATGCTACTTGTTAATACTAGTTTGATTTGCCAGCATTTTTGGCATATATTTGCTACTGATAGTAATGCATTTTTTTATATAACTCTTATCCCTAGACATTGGTATAGTAATGAAAAAATACAAGACTTACATCTGGACAAACAACCCTACATGATGAATACTGGCCCGGTGCCTTCTAATGAAAGTAGCTTACCTTGCTCTGCACCTTTTCCAATGCACCAGATTGCTAAAATCTATAGTAATAATGTTTTTGGCCCAGAAGTTCATTGTGCTGTCCAGAAATGATATGATTATGGAGAAACTTTTAACCTTGCTCGAAAGGCTATTCAATCTGCAGTTGAGGCAGGTAGTGAATCCCTTTGCCATCTTAAAAGAAGCCTCAATAACTGGTTTGCCGAAGAAAAAAGATTGACTCAAATTAACAATAATAAGGAAAATTTAGATCCTGATCAAGTTGAAAATCCAATTGAGAAACGACATAGAGGGCGGTCTTCAGTTAAATCGATTAAGAGTAGTACTAAACAAGTCAAAAGCAAAAAACCTTAAAATAAATATGAAAAATGTGGAGTTGTTGGGCATTATGTGCCAACTTGTA